GTTAGAATTTAGTAGTAGTACTTAAATTGGGCAATGCTAACTACTTCCAGCTATTAATCTAACCCCAATTCTATTCTCTACTGATCTAGTGATCTGAATATATTTACAACTTACATCTCTTTTATATAAGAACACACGGACCCCACGCATATGCATTTTAAGATTTCCTTGCCTGGCTGCCAAAAGGGCGCGTTTCAGCATTATTTCATTACTTACATTACTCATGATGTTTCTTGCGCAAACAACTAAATTGCGTACACAAATTTACATTATCATAACTTCAATTATCTAATTTGCGCTGCTCTCGTGGTTCGTGAAGCATAATAAAGGGCGTAATATAAGGGCATAATGCCAGGAAAAAAGGGCATAATTCCCGTGATCCCTTCGAAACCTGACCAATATTCCGGTAATGAGGCATTGCGTGTGATCACTGATCATGTTTCTATATGAACGATTTCGTGTGAGCCGTGAGGTAGCAAATTAGCAAATACGGTTAGACAAAATAGTCTATAATTTAATATATCGCTTTGTCGCCTATATTCTTAGTCTGTTTATAAGCCTATAAACACATCTCTTCAGTTTCTTGGCAGAAGTAACTATATTTTTTCGAATTTCGCGTTTTTTTCCACCCACTTTCAAAATTCAGGGCGGGATCGGCGCCCCCTTTTGATTTTTGCGCCCCCCAAGAATTGCCAGCTGGGGGGGCCGTGACCCCCCCCCCCTGCCAGCACGCCACTGACCGAGAGTAGCACGACGACTTGGCAAAGCCACAATTTTCTGGAGAAAGTCATCTTAATAGTCATTTGCAAATTGAACTATTTCATTGACTCTCACGTCCGTGAACTAAAAAAGCGTGGATGCCGTGTTACATGTTACAGATGGAGAGTTTACATTCGCATTTTGTAATCCCGAGTCTATTATTCGAAATGCGAAATGGAGAGGAATGGTTTCATTTGAAATCTACAAGACAAATTTGCTTGCTTTTGTATTAACAGACAAAGTTCACGTCGGCCCAAAGAGGTGTGTTTAATAAATTCATAAAATACAGATTTTTTTAATGTAATTGCAGGATTAAATTGAATGTATATTGCAAGATTAAAGTGAATGAATATAAATATATATTTATATTAAATTGAATAGATGTGATGTTTTAAATTGAATGAAATTCAGGAGAATGAATACTGCTACAAATGGGCAGGCATACACTGGACAGTAAACATGCGAATGATGCGATAAAACCCTGCTTAGACGGCCTGGCGTCAAGGATAATGATTGGATAATATTTTTAGAATATGATGCATTAAGCCATTATACATTTTTTGCATTCTTCATCCGAACCAGGAATCGTTAACGAATTTACCAGAGGTTTTTCCTTTTTCTTCGCGCGCTTTCTCGCATTTCGCGTTCGCCAAACCTAAAAAAAACTCTGGGCCAGGGTAGCTATGTTGCTGAATGAGTGGCAAACAACGAAAATCGAATAAATCAACTTATTTCGTTGCTTTCCCTTTGATTATATACGCAGCGTTGAGTTTGTTTACTCCTACCAGTTATTAAAATGTATATCATTATTCTATATACGTACTTACACGCATAAATTATCATAATTGAACACCCCAAATACTGGAGATTTTGAGGTCATGTGACCGGCCGATGCCAGGGCCATTTTCGCTGACCGGAAGCAAAATGCCCTGGGTACGAGGTTGAACTTGCTCAAGCGGATGCTGGGCCAATAAATTCAACCAGGCTGTTTCATGTGAATGCAATCTCAAACATATATATAAAATTAATATACGAGGCAGTATCTTACCATGGGCAGGTGTATATTTAGCCCATATAAATGGGCAAGCCAGCTTTCCCGGTGTGTTATTATTCTACTGACAATACCTGGTTGATTCTACAAGATTATGACCTAAAATATTCCAATTGTATAGTTTCAGGATCTGCTAAGGCAGAGGCGCCGGAATACCGATAATTGGGGGGGGGGGGGGCGGG